ACGCTGCGGACCCGGGTTCGATCCCCGCCACCAACACCCCGAGCTCCACCAGGAGTGATTCCTGAACGCAGAGCCCAGAGGACACCCTGAGCCGCGCTGGGGGTGGCCCCCACAACCACAAAACCAACCCACCCACCCACCAAAGCAACGGCCAGCGAGGAACAGCGGGCCGGAAGAGAGGCGGTGTTCGCGGGGCCGGCCGCGGCAAGAAGACCTCCTTTCCCTCTCCCGGTGGAAGACAAGTAACCTCTCTTTTCTGAAAAGCCCAGGAAAAGCCCACACAGATAATGAATTATTCACAAAGGCTGAACCTAAAAATGAGAGAGAGAGAGAGAGAGAGAGAGAGAGAGAGAGAAATATAGAACCACACAGAGGGGCAGGGAGGGGGGGAAGGAACCAGGGCAGAGAGGGAAGGAACGGAGAAATTGGGGTGCCCAGGAGGCAGGGAGGAAAGGGGGGTTCACAGGGCCACGTCCCACCTCGCCTTGGGGCAGAAAGTGCAAGCTAGGGCATGAGGGGGAGAGAGGCAGGGGGTCGTGGACCCCCCGAGAAGAGCAACAACGCGGGGAGATTGGAACCCAAGCGGGTCTGGGCTGACGAGCGTTTGGGGTTTTAACACTTTGGGAGAACGAAAATGGAACGAAGGCAGATGTTGCTATAACATAAAATAAAATAAAATAAAATAAAATAAAAAACGGGAAAGGGGAGTGGGTGGGTTGCAGAGTTCAGGGGGGTGGAGAAGACACTTCTGGTTTCGACCCCCGCCGCTCCAAGGAGAGAAGAAACTGAGGATGAGGCCAAGAACTCGGGGAGTCTGGGTTTTACGGGAACTGCAGCTAAGGAAGGCTGCTGGGGTCCTCCTCTTCCTCCTCCTCCTCCTCTTCTTCCTCCTCCTCTTCCTCCCACTCCTCCTCCTCCTCCTCCCCCTCCTCTAATTCACAGCGACCTGGGCTGCGGCATTCAGACAGCCGCTGCGGAAGGGCGAGCGGGTGGGACATGACACCCTATCACCTCCGAGATATTTTCGTCTCTCTCAAATGCCTCCCCTCCAGCCTGCTTTCCAGGAGGGCCTGGCGGGCCTGCGGGCCCCTTGGTGTCCCCACCAGACAACCCCACCCCCTGGGCGCGTGCGCGGAGCAAGGACGGAGGCCAAACAGGAACCCGAGCATCATAGCGCCGGACCTGCAGTCCCCAAGCTGGGCACCCGCCTGCCCCGTTGGCTTTGTCTGCGTTCCGCAGCCAGGGTTTGGGTCAACATCACTGTCACCCAGCCCGAAACCCCCGCCTGTGTGTCCCCGGGAGGACCATGGAGAATCCCCCGCCTCAGGAAGGCAGGAGGGCCCCGGGTGAGGATTTGGGGGACCCCCTGCTTCACCGTGAACAGCCAGAAATACTTGGGGGGCCACCCAGAAAGCCCTCCCCCCAAAAAAGATCTCAACAATTCTCCTCCAGAGATCAGAGCACTGTGGGAAATGGGGGGAATCTCTGGAAAGTGGATTAGGGGATGGGGGTGTGGCTTCTGCCCCCCCGCATCGGGGATGGGCCCCAACCCCACCAGCCTTGCAAACAGGAAGGGGGACCCCTGAGGGCCCCAGAACCTGGGACGGACCAGCCCAGACCATAGGAAACATTCCTGAACAGCAAGTGCCCCCCTGGAAGGCTTTTGAGGGGCCCTTCAGATGAGCAAGGGAGAAAAAGAGGAATTGGAGACGTACAGATCGCCTCCGAAATTAAATTAGCATTTTCCAAAAGGTTACAGGGCCCACTGCCGCCCGGAGCCCAGCAGGAGAACGCAATCTCTCTCTCCTCGCTGTCTCTCTCTGTCTCTCTCTCCCTTTCTCTCTCTCTCTCTGTCTCTTCTTTCTCTCTCTTTCTCTCTCTGATTCTGAATCTCTGTCTCTGTCTCTGTCTCTGTCTCTCTCTGAATCTCTCTGTCTCTGTCTCTCTCTCTCTCTCTCTCTCTCTCTCTCTCTGCAGATGGCGCTTGCAAGAAGAAAGATAAAACGAAACACGGCGCCTTCAGAGCGAGCTGCCAACCCACCGACACCCCCGCCAGCCCCACCGAACCCGGGCTGTGTCGGGCATCCGTTCCAGAAAGATCCAGATCTTTCCCATGAAGAACCGGGTGAGGCCGGTCACCCACCCGCACCCACAGATCACAGGCGTCTCCGAGGATGTGTCAGTGCCCGGGTTGGACCAAAAGGTCCAACGTGACGGCGGGACACAGCCAGCAAAGATGCCCAGGACTCAAGAGGCGGCAGGCCCACAGAGCCGCCCGTTTCCCTTCAAGGCCGGGTCTCACGTGCTTCGGGCTGAGCGGGGCGACCCAAACTTCCGTCCAAAACCATCCTAAAGAAGGAAGGCCTCACCGAGTCTGGAGAAGGACCCAGAAATCTGAATTCTTTTTTTTCTTTACTTTTTGGGTCCCACCCGGCGATGCTCAGGGCTGACTCCCGGTTCTGCACTCAGGAATCACTCCTGGCGGTGCTTGGGGGACCCTGTGGGATGCTGGGGATCGAACCCAGGTCGGCCGCGTGCAAGGCCAACGTCCTCTCCTGCTGTGCTATTGCTCCAGCCTCTGGAGGAGTCTAAATTCTTAACTAGCCCCCAGCCCCTTCCATGCCTCTAAAAATGCCCGGAGCTCCCCCGGGGGGAACTGGGACACCCCCTTCTCCTGGGCCGCATGCAAAGTCCTCTCCTTAATCACCACGGCCTGGCGCTAAGAGCTGGTACCAGGAAGCCGGACACGTGGGAACTCAATGAACCCACCAGGGAACTCCAGGCCCGCGCACGGATCAAGGGAAGCAGATAATTGTTCAAGGTTACAGCGCAGCCCCTAGGACTTGAACCCGGACGGCGCAGCCCCCCCACCCCAAGCCCGCCTGATCACCCATCCCTGGCACCTCGCAGGGTGGCACCCTAAAGAAGGAGGTGGAAGATGAATCTGGGTGCACTGGAGGTTTGGGGGGGTAGGGAAGACAGTTGTGGGGGAACCGGATCCTCCCTGGGGGAGGGGGTTACCAGTGGGGGAAACAAGCATGAATCGATTGATTATTGGACAAAGGCAGGGGAGAGTAGGGGAGGAGAGGGGAGGGGAGGGGAGGGGAGGGGAGGGGGCGTGAGCTTGGCACCAGCTGGGCCTGGCATCTCTGCCCATCTCTGCCCTGCGTGAAGCGCTGCAGAAGCTTCCCGGAACTCGGGGAGGGGGCGGCGGGGGGGCGGAAGGGGCCACAGCTGCCCGGAGGGGTGCAGGGGGGATGGGGGCGCCCCTCCCCCAACCCGTGCTGGCCCCGGACAAGAAAAGGGGCGCTGGCAACCGGGACCCGGGGAGCAGCGGAAACGCGAACGCGAGCGGAGGCGGCCACGTGGTGCGCGAAACGTGTTCAGGGGGCCCGGGGCTGGGTGGCCGGAAGTGCCAGGGAGGAAGAGGGGGGGTCCCGGTTTGGAAAGGGGGAGGGGGGTGGAGGGACCCCTCGGCGGCCGCCCGGGATGTTGGCAGGCGCTCTGTAGCGGGCAGGGCGGCGCCGGCACGCCACGCTCCGGAGCGGAGTGCGGGGTGCAGCCGGGGTGCGGAGCCCCCGCAGTCCTTGGGGGGTGGGGTGGGACCCGCCCCTGGAGGGTCGGGGGCGGCCGAGGGCGGGGCCGGCAGCTGCGCGCGCGCGCGCTCGCCGCACCCGCGCGCGCGCACACAATGAGCCTCGCTGCGCGCGCGCGCGCGCGTCCGGACTGCGGGGCGTGGAGCCGCCCTCGGACCCGCGCCCCCTCCCCAGCAGACGCTCCGACTCACGCACTGCAGCGCCCCCCACCCCTCGGCGGGGGGCAGTGGGGAGAGGGAAGGCGGGGAGACGCGGCGGGGGAGGCCGCGCGCCGCCGAGCCGAGCACGGTCCCCGCTTCCAAGGAGCCAACCAACCGCCGCCAGGCGGGAGGCGACGGGCAGGCAGGACCCCGGGGTGGGGTGCCGGGGGGATTGGGGGGCCTCCAGCTGCCTGGCCGCGGCACACCTGGAGCGTGGGAGCCCCGCAGGTGCAGCACCCCACCCCCCACCCCCCCTCTCCACCTGCCCGCCGCTTCGCCACCGCGCGACACCCCCGTCCCTCAAGCTCTGCTAACCAGCCTGGGTTCTTGGCAAGCAGCAGTAGCCGGCGTGGAGCGCACCCCACGGGGCCTCAGGGGGGGTGGGGAAGTGGGGTGCAGCCCTGGGCACAGCCACTAACTCTCCCCGGTGGCAGCCCAGGGCACATGGGGGACCCAGCGCACAGGTGAACTCAGGGGACCCCTTCCATCTGCATCCAGGGCAGCCCAGCGCCAGAAAAAAAAAAAACCCACCCCGAGTCCCCAACACACATGCGTGCCCAGGGCCCTGCAGAGCCCCTCTGCCAGGCAGGGAGGCACGGCGGGAAGACCCCCCCTACACACATACACACACACACACACTCCCAGGCGCCCGAACTTAAACGTGCCCCCCATCCCCGCCGAGAGTTGGCCGTTATCCTGTCCTGGGGGGGGGGGGGGGCTGGGTCCGAGGCATCTCCTCCTCCTCCTCCTCCTCCTCCCGGAGCATCCCTGGATGCTCATGGACCACTCAGCCCGGAGCATCCCTGGATCCTCATGGACCACTCAGCCCGGAGCATCCCTGGATGTTCATGGACCACTCAACCCCCGCCGGGAGCCTGAACTTCGCCCCGGGCAGCTCTGCGGGGGTGAGACCGCCACCGCCGCCACCGCCGTCAGGACGCAGCGTGCGGAGGGCTCATGGGGGGTTGCACCTGCTGTCCCCAAGGGTCACCACGCACGGGGTGGGGGTGGGGGGCAACCCAGGAGGGTCCACGGAAAAGACGCACGATGCAAAGTCTTACCTGGGGATGGGGGGAGGACCCCGGTTCGGTGCCTGGTGGCAAGCGCTTGGCCAAATGGGGCCCGGGGGGATCCGGGGGGTCGCGGGGCCCTCGTTCGGCGCCCCGGGGGGCTTCCCCCCACGAGCCGGGCCAGGAAGGATATGGCCAATCGGTGAGCTTGCGGGCGTATTTTCGCACGATGTTCTCCTCGGCGAGGATGAAGAGGGAGCGGTTGACGGTGAAGCAGTTCTGCCGGACCGGGATGGGGTTGTACAGGGCCATAGTCCGCGCGCGCTGCGCCTTGGTCTGCTTGTAGGCGGCCGCCGAACCCGCGGCCGGCACCGGGGTCCCCGGCCGGTTCCGGCTCTGGTCCGAGTCGCCCGAGCCCGAGCCGGGCCTGGCCACCACCGCCGCCTCCCCGAAGCGAGCCATCCTGCAAAGTTGGAAGGAGACCGAGGCTGCCCGGGGGGTGCCCGCGCCGCCTCCGAGCTGTTGAATCTAAAAGCCTAAAAGCGCGGCGCACGGAGCCCCATGCCTCGGAATGGGGGGAAGGAGAATTCACCAAAAAAAAAAAGGAAGAGAGAAAAAAGGAAGCCAAAAAAAAAAAGAATAGAGAAAAGATCTTGGGGGGTGCTGGGGGCAGGGCGCTCCCAGGCGGTGCCTCTCCCCCCACCCCTGCAAATGCCAATGAGGGGCGGCGTTCGGAGCGCGCTGGGGGCGGGGGGGCGTCGGCGCGGCGCTCCCGCCCCGCTAGGTAACAGTTTGGTGATTTATCGGGGGGATGGGGGGAAGGAGCACAAAAGAACTTTAAAGGAAAGAAAAGCGGGGAATAAAAAAACAATAATGAAAAAATATAGGGTGGGCCAGGCTCGGGTTGGGGTGACGCGCGCGCGCGCGCGCGGGCGCGCGGGGGTCTCCGAGCTGCGGCGCCCGGCGCGGGGGCGGGGTGGGGGGTCGCGGGCCGCCCCCCACCCCCCAGGCCGCCTCCGCCTCCGCCCGCCCGCGCCCCCGCGAACAGGTTGCAGCCGCGGCCCCCGCCGCCGCGACCCCCCGGCGCGACCCCCGGGGAGGGAGCGCAGGCCCGGCCCGGCGAGCGGCGGGCGAGCGAGCGAGGCAGGGGCGCGGCGCGGCGGGGCGGGGATGGGTGGGATGGGATGGAAGGCGCTGGAAGGGCCCGGCCGGCCGCTGCAGCCGCGGGGGGCCCCCTCCCGCGGGGAGACGCCGCCCCCCGAGCGGCCGCGGGGCCGGGCCGGGCGCGGAGGCGGGCGCAGGCGGGGCGCGGGGCGCGGGGCGCGCAGGCGCACGCGGGGCCTGCCGGGGGCGCCCCTCGGACCCCGCCCCGGGGGGCTTCCGCGCGCCCGGCGCGGCCCCCCTCCCCGGGGCTGTCGGGGCACCGCGGGGAAGGGGCCCCTCCGCGGGGAAGTTTTGCGAGGAATCCTGCACGCGCACAGACACGCAAAGACACACACGCACACGGACACACACATACACACCCTTCACTTTGCCCCCAGCCCACCAAAACCGCACCTGAGGGGGCCCAGCCTGTGCCTGGCAGCGACCCCCGCCTTTCCCCATAGCCTGCCCGAGGCTCCTTCCCCCGCCCCGCACAACTCACACACACACACACACACACACACACATTCCAACACACACAGACACTCCAATACACACTCCTCTCCAACACACAGACACTCACACAGATGCTCCCAGACACACACACTCCTCTCCAGTACACACACTCCAACGCACAGACACATGCAACACACTTCAACACACAGACACTTCAGCACACACAGACATTCCAATACACACACATACTCCTTTCCAACACACAGACACACACACAACACACACAGACACTCCAAGACACACACTGCTCTCCAACACACACAGATACGCACAAAACACACTCCAGCACAACACAACACTCACTCCAACATACACAGACACTCCAATATACACACTCCTCTCCAACACACAGATACAAACACAAAACACATTCCAACACACACAACACCCATTTCAACACACAGACACTCCAATACACACACTCCTCCCCAACACACAGACACACACAACACACACACTCCAACACACAAGGACACTCCAACACAGACACCCCAACACACACACTCCTCTCCAACACACACAGACATTCCAATACACCCATACAACACACTCAAACACACAGACACACACTCCTCTCCAACACACACATACAGAACACTCCTCTCCACCAACACACACACTCCTCTCCAACACACACTTAGACACACACCCTCTCCACCAACACACACACACCAACTTCTCCCTGTCAACACACATGCGCGCGCACACACGCACACACAGACGGGGGCAGGTGGCAGCGTGTCTGTGTGTGACGCAGCCGTGGGAAGGAATGACAGCTGAGTGACACTGGGATTCATGCATGGAGTCAGGGGACTCGGGCGCCCACAGGCTGTGAAGGCACCGTGTGTGCGTGCGTGTGTGTGTGAGGGGTGAGGGTGAGCATGAGGGAGTGTGGGGGAGATGTGTGGAGGGGCGTGTGAGTGTGTTGTAAGGGACAGTGTGAGGACCGCAGGGGAAAGTGCGGGGGCGTGAGGAGTGCGGAGGGGTGAGGGGTGTGTGGCTGCGGAAGTGCGTATGAATGTGTGAGAATTTGTGAAGATTGGAGGGGGCGTTGAGGGTGTGTGTGTGCATTAGGGTGTGAGAACTTGTAGGTGGGGTGTGTGTGGTTGAGGGCGTGCGAACAAAGGTGTGAGAATGTGTGTGTGAGGGAGTGTGGGAGCAGGGTGGTTGAGGAATTCTGTGTGTCTCTGAAGGAAGGCCTGTGGGAGGGAGAGTGTGGGTGTGGGTGTGGGTGTGTGTCGGTGGACTCTGTGGTATGTGTGTCTGTGGTGTGTGTCTGTGAAGTGCGTCTGTGGTGTGTGTGTCTGTGGGATGTGTCTGTGGGGTGTATGTCTGTAGTGTGTGTGTCTGTGGGATGTGTGCATGTCTGTGGGGTGTGTGTACTGTCTGTGGGGTATCTGTGGGGTGTGTGTTTGTGGGAAGTGTGTGTCTGTGAGGTGTGTGTGTGTCTGTGGGGTGTGTGTGTACTATCTGGTTGTGTGTGTGTACAGTCATGTGTGTGCTATCTGTGGGGGGTGCTGTCTGTGTGTGTGCCTGTGGTGTGTGTCTGTGGTGTGTGTGTGCTGTCTGTGTGTCTGTGATGTGTATGTGTCGTGGTGTGTGTGTCCGTGGTGTGTGTGTCTGTAGTGTGTGTGTGTGCTGTCTGTGGGGTGTGTGTATGTGTGTACTGTCTGTGGTGTGTGTCTGTGGTATGTGTCCATGATGTGTGTGTGTCCATGGTGTGTGTGTCCATGGTGTGTGTGTCCACAGTATGTGTGTCTATGTGTGTGTGTCCGTAGTATGTGTGTGTGCTCTCTGTGGGCGCGTGAGCTGTGGTGCGTGTGTGTCCGTGTGCGTGGTGCAGGTCTGGGCCATGGGTGCATGGCGCCCCGTGTCTCCCAAGGACGGTGACTTCATCTCTCCCACTTGGCACCTTTTCCGCCTCCTCCCACACGCCCAGGGACGGGGGCACCAGGGACCGGAAGCCCCATCGGCCGGCGACTCCAGACCCGCGTGGTCTGCGGGCGGCCTGGGTACCACATCGGCTCACCCTGGCCCTGGGGTCGAGACTGGACACCTCTGAGGCCGGGGGCAGGAGACGCCGGGCCCACGGCCGGTGCAGTTCCGAAAGTTGATGGCCGCTAGCTGGCCCCTGCAGCCACTGGGCCCTGGCCTGTGCTGTGGGGACGTCCGGCAGGACCCCCGTCCTCCTGGAGCCGGGGACACCCCGAGCCAGCAGAGCCCCTCGGGGGTGTGGGTGCCTGTGGGCCTTCCTGCCCCCTGGAGCCGGGCTGGACACCAGGACCGGATGCAGAGCCAGACTCTCACGGTCCCCCTGCACCGCTGACCACGGCTGTCACAGCTCCGGAGAGGGCCCGAGGCCCCGGTGCCCAGCCACGCCAGCGTCTCCCTGCCGGGGGGGCTACGGCATTAAGGGCCGAATTAGCCATTTGTGCGAGCTGCGAGTTGAATCATTTGCAGTTACATAAGCCTCACTCGAGCCCACAGGACACACCGATTCGTCTCCTGCAGCCTGTGCAGGGGAAATAAAAATAAAACAAAAGAAAAAACACGCGCGGCCCCCTGAAAGTCCCCCTGCGGGAACGGACAGGAAGCTCCGCCCCCCACCCGCCACTGCCCCCTGGCCACTGCTGCCCCCGCCCCCCGGAATCGGAACCTCGGAGGCCCACCAGGGCTGGCCCACCGCAGTGGGTCGGGGCATGAGAGCAGGACCTGGGATCTGACGGGCCCTGGCCCCTCCGTGCCTCAGTGGACCGTGAATTCCCAGTGCTCAGGGGCCAGGAGCACCAGGCGGTGGGAATACCAGACCGAGGGCTTCCGGGTACACTCGCCCTGTGGCCCAGTGATGGTGGGGCCAAGCTAGGCTCTGTCGGCTTGTGACAGCCCCCCCATGCACATAAGCACACACACACACATGCATGTACACACATGCGTGCACACACTCATGCACGCATGCACACACAACCACACAGATGCACACGTGACACGCAGGCACACACAAGCACACACACATGCACACTCATGCACACACATGCATGCACACACGCAAGCATGCATGGAACCACACACATGCATGTGTGCGCACACGCATGCATACACACACATGCACACACAACATGCAGGCACACACATAGCCACCACACACGCACATACATGCGTGCACGCACGCACACACGCATGCACACACCCACAAACATAAGTGTGCACACACGCGCGCGCGCACACCCATGCACACACAACTTGCACGCACACACACAACCACACACGCACACAACATGCAGGCACACACACAAGCACACGCACATACATGCATGCATGCACACACAGGCACACGCACATGCACACATCCACGCACCTATGCAAAAACACAAACACACGCATGCACACACGCGCGCGCACACACACCCATGCACACACAACATGCACACACACATGCAACCACACATTCACACAACATGCAGGCACACACACAACCACACACGCACATATATGTGCGCGCTCACACCCACGCGCACACACACAAACACATGCATGCACATACACACACATGCGCGCGCGCACACACGCACACATACACACACACACACACACACAAAACGCAGGATCCTTAGGGAAAACTGAGGCCTGGTCAGAGCTATGACGCTCGGCCGAGGAGACCCCCCGGCCACGCTCCTTCCTCCCGCTGCCCGCAGTCCACTGCCCGCCTGAGAGGCCACGGCGGAAGTGTGGACATCAGCGCCTGGTCCCACTGGTGGCCCGGAAGGTTCCACACAAACTTTCCTGCCCGGAGCCCGTTTTCCTGCT